GAAAGTATATCCTGTTTATTGGATGAAATAACATTAATCAAACACTGTAACTCAATAGCTACTGATAATGTAGAATGCAAATCTCATGCCATATCTAAGTTTAGATATTTTGTGTTAGAAAATTCTATCATTTTAGCTCTTTTTGAAGAACCATTAGGCAACAATCAAGGTAAATTAAATTTATTATTTCATTAAAACTTATTTAGTATGTATAAAGTATAAATTAAATAATTTTAAATGTTTAGATGCACAGCCAACTTTGACAGTTTTGATTAGAGGATCATTTGGACGACAAGCTTGGACTTTACAATTAAGGCATTTGCCTCGTCATCGGTCTTCATCAACAAAACAGTACAATGTTTGCCCTGGCCGCCCTGTAGCAATGGAAGAACCTAATCGACATAGATATTCACGCAGGTCTACTACACATTTCTCTGAAAGCATAGAACGAATACCGACTTGCAAAATGTATTTATTTTTATATTTTTTATAACTAATATATTTTTTAATTATTTTAATTTAAAACTAAATTGCATTTAATTTTAGAGACAAATCCATACCAAGTTTAGATAGTTTAGTTTTTGATAATGAAGAGCATAGTATATTATCAGATTTGATTGAAAAACAAAAGGAGATGGAAAGTTCTAGTACGCAACCTCCACCTAAGGCAACAGAAATGTTACCACCCCAACCGTGTACAGATTTCAATACAGCCAGATTATTTTTATCCCATTTTGGATTTTTGTCCAGACTGGATGATACAAACGTAATTATATTATATTTAGAAGATGTTATACTTGCTTATGTTGTTTTCATATTACAAAGGCATAACACAAGTATAGAATATGTAATGTTATGAATAATCCATTTTAATTTGTTACTTATTTATTTTTTATATATAAATGAATTAACCAATTATCAAATTTAAAATTTAAAATATTAACATGTAGGCATTTCAAATATTTTAGTTTTGAAATATGTTAAAACTCAAAAGCATTTTATGGCTTACAAAAAAATTACAATTTTAATTTAACCATAGCATGCTTAAAAATTTAAATGTCTAAAAAATCCTATACAAAACTCTAAATAATATTCATACCTTTAAATTCAATCATTTATCTATTCACTAAAATGTTTGAAATTACTGAGTAAAATGGATTATTCTGAATTTAAAATTGGCTGATTTATGTTAAATAAAACAAAAATAACACATCATAATAGTACAACAATCTCTGTATGCATAACACAAAACAAATATAACCTAAACAAAAAAATAACTTATTACTTTAAACTACTAAAAAAACTTTTTACTTTTACATTTTAGCCATCATCAGTGCCTTCATTAGTTCCTTTAAATGTACATCATGAAAATTTTTGCAAAGACCTTGAAATTCTTGATAATACCCCATCACGCACTTGTGACACGTGCCATGTATTTTATGTTAAGGATGGTCAAACAAATTTCAAGGATATCCTTAATAATGTGGTAATTCTCCTTAACTTATTTAATATTGTATTGTTGTATAATAAATAATACTTTTATGAATTATATATCTTTAGAATTCCAACACGGCAGTTTCGCCAAACTTTTTAGAAATGTTAACTAATCTTGGTTGGCCAGTTAATGTTAGTGAACATCCTGGATGGACTGGACGTATTGAAACAAGTTGGAATCTACCTGATAGTAAACATACTGAAGACCAAAAATTCAATACCGCACATGGTGGAAGTTTGTATAATGGTGAAACTCATGTGATCTATTGGGCAGATGTAAGTTCTGAAATAGCTTTTGTCGTTCCTACAAATTATAAAGAACGCATGAAATCACAAAAGTCTGAAGGTATACTTTTACATTTTAATATTAGTTTACCTATAAACTTTTTAAAAATTGAATATTGAATAGACGATGTCTTGCAACATGGAGGTATCAGATATTCAAAACCAGTCACTACAAGAGCTATGTCTATTGAATTTGATTATAAAGGAAAACCAACTCAGCCACATATTGAACCACCTAAAAGACGTCCACAATATGTATCAGCTACGGTAATGTTAGTTTGGCTTGAAAGTTTTGAAGATCACTTAAACTTTCCTATTGGTAAGTAATTGGTCATTCAGTGTTTGAATTCTCTAAAATTCAATGTATTTTATGATACTATAAAATAAATCAATAAAAGTCATTTTTCTTTTCATTTTTTTTTTTTTAGCAAATCTTTTATCATACACAAATACTGGTAATGAGCCTTCTTCATACATTAAAGATATAGGTGATATACATGTCATATACCTACACGCATTACAAAGTGGATTACTTAGAGTGAAAATGCAAGGACCAGTCGGAAGGTATATGACTTTAAGTTATATAGTATTTATACACTAGCATCTCTCATATGGCTTAAAGAATAGAATAAGTACTAATAAGGAGAGGAAAAGTTATTTTTTGAAAACTAATGATTTTAAATTATCATTAGAATGATAAATTTTGAATTACATATTTTATGTCTTCATTTTTTTAGAACAAATCTTGCCACTCCATTAGTTGATGGTATGGTTATTAGTAAACAAGTTGTTGGAACAATGGTCAGACAAACTGCATTAAACATTTGTAGACGTAAAAGATTAGAGAACGACAGGTAAGTTATATTGCTGTAATCATTTTTTTAATTTTTATAACCAAATTAAAAAATTGAATTTAGAATATTATGATAACATGTTTCATACTTAACAAATCTACTTACTCGAATATACAATGATATAATACTAATGAAGAGAACATATATAATTAAATTACTATCACTATTTGTTATAAATGATGCCAGAGTAGGTCATTGTTAAAGTTCTACTCATGTTGATTAAAAATAAGAATAATTTATTGTAGCTTTGAAATTTAAATTATTTTTATTTGTTAACAGTTTCCAACCAGGTCATATACGTAGACGTTTAAAAATTCAAGAAATTGTTGGAAAATACCAAATAAAGATGACTAAACCAGAGCTTTATACTTATTTATTAAGCAATGTTAATTCCACTTGAATAACAATTTCTTCTTGGTAGTTTGTGCAATATATGTTTTTTTTTGTTTTTTTTTTTTATTTGTCATATAAGACAATAAACAAAAGCTAATTTATTGGAATTAAATTTTATCTTTTATAATCATATATTGTGTATTAAATTCCAAATTTTGTGATATTTAGTTAATTAAAATAAAAATTTTATGATTGTTTACTTTTATTATTATTTTTTGTAATGAAATGTCACTTAATTGTGTACCTACATTTATATTCCAAATAATCATTAATCTGATTAATTTTGGGTTAAAATTAAATTATTATATACATTTATATTAATAAACTAACCACATTTTTTTTTTTAATGTGCAGTCTTCTCATTTATAGTTTTAAATCAATTTTTATCAAATAAAATATACTCTGATATAAATTACTATGTACATTCAAGATTTTAATGTTTAATATAACCTTGTCATGTGTTGTTATAAATTTTAAAGCAAGGACCAATAATTTTAAACTATATTATTTTCAATATTTTTAAATTTTACTATCTTGCGATTAGTTGATTATTTTACTCTATAATTGTAGCTTGCATCCTATACTATTCTTTTGAAGTTATTATTATTATGGATAGATACTAAAGAAATTGCATTTAGTGGTTTTCTGTTGTCACCTACATGGTGAGAAGGCAATTATTTTTCTATATTAAGTAACCTGGAAGTATTGAAGAATGCCCTATGACTTAGATTCAAATTGAATCATTAATATTCAACCATTTTTTTTTTTTAGAATCTTTATATTCCATTTAATTTATCAGCGCTATATCACAATGATTCATGGAAGCTTATAAATATATACCAAGTACATTATTAAATATACCAAATTCTGATTGCAGTTTATTTCTTGTTAATTGGTCTCTACAAATTATTAAAGAACTTTAACTCATGGATGACATTTTTCACATATTTGGTAAACTTAACTCAAAGATATGTTAGAATATATCTAATTTGTAGTTAATATTTGTTATAAATTAAAATATTTATAATTCCAAATTTGGGAAATATTCTTTAGAACTTAGATATTTAACTTTAAAATAACCTAACCTGAATTTTCCCAAAATTCAATGACCAATAGAAATTCATTACTACAGAGGTTCTCAAACTTTTCCTGCTTGTGGCGCCCTCTTAGAACTGAAGTTTGCTCATGGCGCCCTTAATAAAATTTACAATCTTTTTTTTAAATAAAATACATAAAATATTGTTTATTTTTTAGACCAGATAACATAGTCGGCAGCCTTGGCTCCCCTGACAACGCATCACGGCGCAGAGTTTGGGAATCTCTGCATTACTACATAAAACTATTATTATTTAAACAACTAATTTAATCATAGCAACTATGAAAAATGAATAATGCAAACCAAACAATAAGGTTAAAAAAAAAAACTCAAAAAGTATTTTAATGATCAGTGCTAAACATAAACACAGATCATTCAATATATATGTATTTATATGGGACAAAAACACAGAATTTATATCATAAAATTAAATACAATACTTTATGTTATTTAACATTAAATAATAAATAGGACACATGTCAAATATCATATGAAAGTATACTAGATTAATACAATGTGCTTATACTAACATAAAGTAATTAAAGTTAAAAAAGTGTATCAATAATAACATAGATTTAAGTTAAATTTTAAATTTAATATTGTGTAACTTATTTTAATTATAGGTACTATTTTTATGAAAGTAAATCTGTTAATATTAATGGTGTATTATAATGTGATCTATAATCATATTCGGGAGAGCTAAGCGATTCATAACCAATATCTTCATACTGTTCTGTGTCAATGTCATCTTCCTGGCATATTTCAAGAATATGTTCATCATAGGTTGTTGTTACTTCTTCAACAGCTTCTTCTACGATAATAAAACGTTCCAAAGAATCACTTTTCTCTTCGAAATGTTCTTCAATTTCAGATTTAATATTATTAGGTGCCAAAAATTGCATTTCTTCATTTGGAATTTTAACTGTATCTGTAATTAAATCTGTGTCTGTGTTTAGCATGAATATTGGATCATTATCATTTATGTTTGCATTGGGTAAATCAATATTTTGACCGGGTTCCATGACTTCTGATGTGTCCCCCACCATTTCATCAAGAGAACATTCATTAAGGAAACTCTGTAAAACAATTTTGAAATAAAACAAATTTTCATTGTATTCGCATTAATTGAACTAAATAATACTTACTTCGCCGAGTAGTTCATCAGCAATTTTCTCCAAACGTTTTGAAACATTGTTGTCAAGCCAATCCATATCATCATCGTCCTCTGGAAGCTTGAGATCATGTAGGATGGAATGGTCAGTAATAGGAACAGAATCTGATAACAGAGCATCAAACAAGATATTCGACTCCGTTTGCCCTTCTGCAGAGGGTGTCTATTGGACACGGCAGGTCCATCAATCGAAAACTTGTTATTAACTGCTGTTGTACAGAAATCTGTAACTACTGATTTTGGTACGGATGACTCAATGGAAAGTTGTTCTCGTAATCTTTCATTTTCGGCAATCAATTGCTCTTGGTTGGCCCGTAAAGTTTCTATTTCTTCTTTTAAATGTACATTCTGAAAATACAATATTTTATTATTTGTAAAATATTAGATAGATACTACAATTTAAACAAAATTATTATTAAAATTGATTATATTGAAAACATAATAGAATAAGGTACATAACTATAAATTTTTGAAAGGAATATAAATACATATATGTACCATTCTTTGTTTCAGATCAAATATTATCTACATATTAAGAGTAAAAAATATATAAGTATATTATATGTTATATTTTAGAGAATATAAATGTTTTGTATGTTAATAAAGAGAAATGTAATACCTACTTAAATAATATTCTACAAATTAAAGATTTAATATTTATGTACTTAAATACATTCAATGTTTATGTAAAAAAATGTACACACCTCTTTTCTTAAGCCATGAACCATTCCTGATAAAATATTGAATTGTGCTTTCTTTTTATCTCTAGACAATTGTGCTGCTTCTCTATTTCGTAATTTCCTAGAAAAAAATATATACATATATAATTTGTTTTTATTTTTTTTTTTTATTTTTATTAGCTATTAGTATACAACTATGATAGCTCGACATTTACAGCGGTAATACATAAAACAACATTATACATTAAACATTATTATACATATTAAATAATGAAGCTAGCATCCAAAATAAAAGAGATAATTAATTTGATGGCAGTGGTGGATTTTGAGTTGAGTATGGAGTGAATATTTAAGGGGATATTAAGAGTTTGAAGTTCATTTTCTAAAATAATGCATTTGAGTTTTAGGGCAGGGCAGTCGAGTAGAATATGGGATAAGTCACAAATGCATTCATTTAGGTGAAGAGTACAGAATGGAGAATCATTAAGGCCAAGTTTGAAGGAATGGCTGGGAAATACATATATAATTATTAATTAATAAGTAAGTAAATTGGTAATATAATAAAAGGATTTATCTAAAAACAAGTAATAAATTTAAAATGGCTTAATTAGAGTGTAGAATAATATTTTGGCGACTTTGCTTTATATTAAACTAGTTTTTAAATGTTGATGTAAGAATATTAATTAATAAACTATTAGTAATCAATAATCACTAATTTATATTATTAATTATTATCTATCATTCAACCATGAATCAAAAATAGATAAATTTAAAAATATTCAATTTTTATCAATGAACCATTAGGAAAATACGGTTTTAAATTGAAATATTTATTAAATTATCAATAATTTGACAAATATTCAACTCTGAGAATATTAATTCAAGATAATTACCATTTACACTTAATCAGCTAAAATTATCACACAATTATAAATTAAGATATAATATTACAACTTTATAAGTATTTTAATAATGTTAAAATAATTAATTACTTCTAAAACTCCTATCTTACATCAAAATTCTAAACTACTTAAAATTTAAAATAGTTTTTTAATCAACAGAATGATTATTATTTGTAAGATTGTTGTGTATTGTTTGTAATTAAATATAATATTTTAACAACTTACTATATTATATTATTAGTACCTACTAATAGGTATATAGATAAAAGTTTTAGTAATAATGCTGTTAATATTTAAGCCCTGTGATGATCATTACATGGATCGTAGGATGGTAGGTACTATTATTGAGTTAGTGGATCGTGACCTTACTGTCTTTTCAATCTTTTTTAAGGATTAGTAAGGATTATAGGATTATACCTACGTGATTGGTACAAATACTGGAGAACTTCCGTAATTTCAGAGATAGGGCGTGTGCTCTAACTGTTTCATGTAGGTACAGGAGAGATGGCAAGATCATAATTGTATCTTTATATAATTATTTTTAATCGTAAAAATAAGATTTATCGCTTTAATTGCTAACAGCGATCTTTAATAATCATATTTTAATTGCATGCATTCGCGGCAGCTACATGCAAACATGCGTCAACAGGTAACTGCATGTAACCACGCCAAATACTATTGCTGTTCATGCCGCAACGGCCAAGTAAACCACCCAAGTACAAAGTTATATAAAACCATGACAAAAAAAGATAAAATATAATATAAACATTAATATTGCAGGTAGCGAACAATATGGGTTATTCATATACTCAGTTGTTTGTTTAATATTGTCTGTACGCTATGTGCAAATATATGGTTTATCTACCAGGCGACCATTAACCCACGCCTTGGGGGGACGCGAAATATATTATAAATTATAATAAATAAATAATATCAACATCGTTTTACCATTGCCGATGCGTTGGCGTTTGTGGAAAACGCGATTACAATAGCTACAGCGGTGAAGTGGTGGTGAGGTTAGCGAGGAAGTATGTGTAGATAGCACAGACCCACGGAGTGTCACATGGAGTGGGTGGTGGAAGGGGTTATAATTTTTAATATTATATTTACATTACATTTTATATTAACACAATGTATATTTCAACTGTGATTATTTGATTATTATATATTGCTTTTTACTTACTTGCGCAATATTTTCTCCTCGGGTGAGATATTTTTTACGTACGTCCGCTTGGCCGGCGGTGATTTCGGCGACATTGACGATCCACCGCCGACGTCTCCAGCGGCCGAATGCTGTCGCTGTTTCACGTAACACATGGCAGAGTTGAATATTAACATTTGACTAGGCCGAATAATGTTAGGCGCCATGAGAACTGTATTGTTGTCAACAGTAAAAAACGATCTTACGACCCCAAGCCGCCCGAACCACGGCCGATGATAAATCGCGCAGCGATGATTGAAGAAAAAAAATGTAAATAACACTACTCGTGTTATGACTATATATTTTGATTATTAGTTTATTTCTAATAGTTTACCAAATAAAACGAGTACCTATGTTCACAAATTGTTACAAAATAAAGTTAAGTTAAAGTTTTTACATTTGATGGTAATATGTACATGCTGCTTCTGATGCCGAATTGTTACTGAACTAGCGAAGCGAGAGGTAATGACCGGAGGAGGTGGCGGTAGTTTTTTGTCGACATGGCATGGCAATGTGGCAAACATCTAACTCCCGACATCGATGTTTATTCAATATCGATAGTCACCAACCATGACGCAATAACATCGAATTATTACGCATGTACAACCGGAGATGATACTTAGGTAGGTATTGTTAGTTGTTAGTTCACATTACTTATACTTTTCCACTGAAAGAATTTGAAAAACTATTAATTAGGTATCTCCATAAGTCACAATTATAAATGACATAGATAGGAAATTAAAAAATTTTTATTTTAAACGTCAAGTGCTTATATACAAGTTAATATTTAACATTTTCAATTGTATTACTTTTCGATTATTTTTTAACCATAGTTCAATGACCAAGAGCCATGGGGATTGGCACATTGTATCAAGTACTAACTACACCTTAAATAGTATAAAATAGTTTTCAACATTAAAATCTTCAAACTTTGACAGAACAAAAATATTTTGAATTATGTATTTTGAAATTAGGACGGAATTATAAACGCCTGGAGAAAAAGTGAATAAAGTTATTTTATAATAAAAACAATTTAATTTGACATATATAGTCTATAACCTATAGATAACTGTACAGTCTACTACCTATATCAGGCTTCAGCTCTCTGCAGCAAACCTGTTCTGGAAAAAACTGAGCCTAGTCAAAAAATTATTAACTTCCTATTTTTTAGATTTTCAATTTATTGTCTTATAAATAAAAATAAAACATGTTAATAATTTTTTTGTTTGGAGATTTAATAGCTTTAATTTTATTGCATCAGAGGATGAATATTTTTCTTCTTACTATTTCTTCATTTATCTATAAAAATATTGACAGCTTTATTTTTTAAAACGAAATACGACCAGTATTGTTATGTGTGTAAATTCATATCATATACCTACCTAATTAATATACAACATATTCGATATGATCTTACACTACACAGGTTAATAAATAGTATCTTAGATTTATTTAATTTCGCTACACGCTTCTTCAAGAAAAATCTATTAATAATAAATATGTTTTTGAAAGGAAAAACAACGAACTATTCAACTGTAAAATGTTCTTCTTGCAGCTTGAAGTGGAGATTTTTAATTATAAAGATTATGTAACCATGATAATGAAAACATATTTAGTACCTAGAATTCTTTTAAGACGCTTCCAAGGGAATAGGTAAAAATAACGTATTAAACGAGAAATTATATTACGCACGAAACCAGGAAATTGACAAATAAAAATTGTACATACAATTTTGAATTTTTTATGATAATTGCATTTATAGTTTATACTGTATTATTATTACAAGTATAGTTTACTAATACATACATACTTATTATTAAATTTTATTTTTATTTTAAATTACATATTAATTATTATCTACAGTTTAAATGTATACATACATACCTATAAATTACATACTACTTTATTTTATAATAAAAAAATTATTAATTTTTTTTTGTTTTGCTTTTTTTTTATTATTTGAGTGGAGGAAGTTTTCAACTTTACTAAGTCTTTGTAGTGTTTCATTTGTATTGTCAGAAGATGCAATTAATCTTAGTTCGTGTTCATAATTAAGTAAATTTATTGCGGGAATAAGATAACGAATGGTTAGTTCATTCTTATCGTATGATATGTATACATCATAGTGTATAGGTACTATATAAGTTTTGGCGCCTTATTGAATCAATAATCATATTGTACATTATAGTAATTATTAATTTTATACTACATAACATTATTGACATAGAGCGTCTTATCCGGAATCATTTACATGTTAACCGCCATCAAAATTAAGGGACTCGTGAAAATGGGCGTATTACGCAAGAAATGCAAGAGCATCATTGATTTATCTCTGATATTATCTTATCTTGATACTTGCAAGAGTATCTATGAGTATGGCGTTCCATCGATAACATCAATTAAGAGATATTCAAACCTTAAATCATTATTTTTATATAGCTCAACCATAAATAGAATACATCAAAGTGCATGACTTAAGCTTCAGGTAGAAGTCTTTATCTAATCATTAATTTGTTGTATTCTTAGTAGTTAACCAGTGTCTATTTTAATAATGCATTTTTCATTCTTAAAAAAAGGGTGGTAGGTACAAAATATATATGTGTATAACATATAAAATGTAAATATATAAATAACTGGTTGCAATGAATATAATATCATATTTCATCTATTTATAGAATTTTGTGATTATCAGTAACTGATTGGTCGATTACCGCCTGTCGACTTAAAAATTTACAAGGTAGGTAAAGTGTACCTAGGTATCAAAAGTCAAAACCCGAATTTACAAATCACAGATAATCAAATTAATCAAGTAAAAAAACGAAAACAAAAAAAATTGTCGTTCTTTATTATCAAAAAAATTCAAATTACAATGTATATTTTAATTTAGTTCTTAATCCATGAATCAAAGTTTATACAAATATTATTATGAATTATAAATATACGAAATATTATAAAATATGATAACACTCAATAATATCAAACGAAAAATAACTAATTTTGAATGTTCCTTCGATTCCTTGTCCTTCTTTTTTTATTATTATTTATTAGTTTTTATTATTGTCTACATCAGGTAGGTACTATAATTGTTTATTTAATAATTATAAAATATTATTACTGATTTTATATTAAATTTAAATATTATATTTATTTGTACAGATAATTTTTGTTTTCTTTTTTTTCAAATTTATTATTATTTAAAATTGAAAAATTGAATTAAAAAATCAATTTTTCGTTGAACGTTGTAATCCACATTGCGTGGTTCACTGAATAACAATGAATATAATATTGCGTGAATTATACTATAAAGGTACTTATTTATTACTTGTATAATTATACTTTATTTTGTTCCACTAACATAAATTTAAAATTTTACACAAGGTCGTTGTTTAACATGAAATATGAATTAATAGTATTAATATTTTAATTTTATTTTGACCCTGGATCTCAGAAAATAGATATAATTTTTTTTAAATATATTATAGAATAATACCATGAATTCTATTGAACAGTTTCTTGTAAAGATCTGTTTTTTATTTTTTTAGATTATCTACTAATCTTTAATTTTTCGTAAGACTAAATTTGAAATTAAGTTAATATTATTTAAGTTATTGTATAACAAAGATCAGAAATTCAAAACCTATAGGGATATTATGTATTTCCTAAATCCTATTCCATACTCTGTAATTTTATTATTGCCTATTATTACCTTTTAATTTTTAGTTGTTTTATCAATTTATCACATACATAGTAATTTTAATTATTAGTTATTACTAATATAGTAATATAGTAATGTCGTAATATTTTTATTTTTTACTGTTTTTGTAACGAACCTGGGTAAAATCATTTATAAACGGTTGGCAAATTGCTAGTGAGTTGTGCGTATCGTTAGCTGTTAAGTACATGTTGAGTGGGTCACTGTAATAGCCAATAGGTGTTTTAAATTTGAATTAAATTATTTATTAGGTATTAAAAAAGAAGCATTTTATCCAACATAACTAATTATCGGTTTATTAGACTTATCGATAATTACAGAAATTTGGTTTAGATTGTTAGAGTCAAAATATTTTGAAAATTATATCTTGTGTACTATATTACCACATTATACCATGATAATTTAAATATTTGATGCAAAATTCAAATATCTACGGTTATTTGTTTTAGACCTATAACAAAATAAGAAAATCATTTATATCAAAAACTGGTTTTGTGTAAAAATTCTCGTTTTTCTAATTTTGTTTTTTTTTTTATTTATTTATTTATTTTTTGAGCCCTATCCTCCCCCCTCCCACAAAAAAAAAGTACCAATTATGTTTACTTTCCTGATATAAATTTAAAGCAGAAAAAATGTTTTTCAGATACAAAAATAACCACATATTATTTATCGTCCCGCTCAGAATCTAAAACTATATGTATTTATGACTGCAGTGTAATATTTAAGTCTGCGTTTCTTAAACTTTTTTATCCATGGAACCCTTTTTGATGTCCACTTTTAACATGGAATCCTTACTTTTTTTTTAGCTTTTTAGCTTTTTTTAGGGTTATTTACAATAAATATAATTATTTTGTGTAATAATATTAGGTATACTATAGAGTACCTATAGAGGTTATAGACTATACCATAAAAATTGTTATTTAATATACAAACATTTTTTTTTCTACTAACCAATTTGTATTTATATTTTATACTTATCTACTCAGTTTTAGAAATAGGTACCTTCCTATAAAATCTATATGTATAAAACAACATAATATTCTGACTCACTAATTCATCATCGTCTAATGGGAACCGTTGAAGTTATGAGTATTAAATTTGATCTATAGTTTCGCTTTATAATGTTGAGACCACAATATAAGAAAGGATTTTCTAAAATGTATTCTTTAATAAGGTTAATAGGTATAAAAAATGATTTTTTAATGGTATTTTTTTTTTTTTAAACTTAGCATGTATACTCCGTAATACAAATAAATAATAATCCAATATCTTTTATCTAAAAATATGTACAGTTTACATAAATAAAGTTTAATAAGAGGGTTAAATCGACGATGATATAATTTTTTTGCAAACAATGTCATGCATAATCGACTAGTATAATATAAAACTATTATTTACAAATACTAATGTTAGTTGTAATAAGTTCTTGTATAAAATTTGTTTATCATTAAATACGATAATAAATCATTATAATATATTGATTATCTGTAATTATTAAATTATTTTAGCTTCGTTATGTAGGCTTTAAAAAAAAAAAAAAATTAACTGTAAAAAAAAGTCGTGTACGTATCATTAGTAATTACTAATTACTAATTAATATTATAATGTATTACATTGCATGTAGTATATTAATTTATGTTAACTGTGATATTTGTATAAGGTAATTTGTTTTTGTTCATATAGTCATTACGTTCTAATTTATATTTACTTCTAACAATAACACAGTAGTGAGTAATCAATAACAGTTATAGTA